CTTCCTTGGCTCTTTTTCTACTCTGACCTCAGTTTTCACTTAAAGGAAGTGATTAAGGACCACCCATCGTATGTACCTTTATCCTTCGGGATCAGTTTTTGAGGTAAGAACCTCAGGATTGTGCACCAAACCCTAACTTGTTCCTATTGGCTGCTCACAGGCAGACTGGAAGTCTGTCTGAAAATTATTACAACACGTGCCAGTGGTATCAACAGGAACGTATGTAGAATGAATAAGTTACTATTAGACTTACCAGTATTAGTATTATTTATTGCTGTATCTATGATCACTGACTGATGCTTCTTCCATTGCTGAATGCTTAAGAAATACAAGGATCCTGCAGTTTGGAGATGATATACTACCTTCCAGGTATTTTAGTTGGCTCTGCATGCCCTGAGGTTGATCCATTCTGTTGATATATTACTTCAGTTATTGCAGAAATATATTGAACTCTTCCAGTTTGGGATTACTCTGACAACAGTCAGTGCCTTTCTGGTTGCTTTTTGAAGGACTGTTTCAAACAAAACACCTCTACAAATTCTGGATAAATTTAAGATCTTGTTTATAGATTTGTACAGAGCTGTGTGTAGATGGAAACACACACCTAGTGGGGTAATACCAGTATATTTTAAGGGAGTATGTTTTGTTTCTCTTTGCTATTCAAAATTCTGGTAGAAGCCCAGAGAGGTTGCTACAAAACATTTCTTGTTGACTCTGGTGCCTATCAGATAATAACACCATAATTCACTCCCTTGGTTTGGTATGGCACTTTTTTTTCCCTTCAAAAAATTTTCAGAAATCCTGCTCCCTTTTAATTCTTATACATTAGATTGGATGGGACTTGCAGCAGCCTGGTGCAGTGAAAGGTGTCCTTTTCAACTCAGGCCATTCTGTAATTCTGCTTCAGTGATCATGTTTATAGTGGTGGGGATCATAAGTCATCCTCTGCTCTCCTTCTTCCATTGAGAAGGTATTATGTGGCTTCTCTTTTCAGCCACGTGGTCACTGTGATAGAAATGTGGCTTTGGCACTGCTGTAGGTCTTGCAAAACATGAATCAAATTCACAGAAACACTTGAGATCCATTGAGAAAGACCCACCAGAGCACGTTACCTGGATCATAGCTCAGGGAGTACCATGACTTGTTTTGTTCCTGATTGAAGCCCTGTTGTTACCATCTTGACAGTATTTGAAAGCAATTTTAATAAGCAGGCCATCATAATTACCTTTGTGAGTACAAATTAGGCATGAGAATGTGTTCTGTTCCTATCCTGTGAGCTGTTGGTAGTCTTCCACCCCGGTGAGGGTTTTCAGTCCCAGTCATCTGGATCTAGCAGTTTGTTCATTTGTTTTCTGTGCTGCACCTGCAATTCAGCACTCACTCTATGTCACAGATTGAACCCCCTACTCTGAACAGCCCAGAATGGGAGACTTCTTAGCAGGATTACTGCAACTGTTTAATTTCTGGGAACACAGACATGTTTTATGTCCCAGGTTAATTGGGAGCCATTGCTGTACAGCATTTACCTCCATATTTCCTCCTCTGCTCCCTCTTCAAGATAGTTGGGCTGCATTGTGTTGGTGGACTCGCTGTTTTCCACCCTCTGTTCTGTTTCCTTGCCATGTAGATGTCATTTCAAGGAAAAACCCAATTAAAATGAATTGCTTTGCTGAGTAGGACTGAGCTTACGCATGTGTAATGTCAGTGTTTTATTTGCCCCCGCATTCCTTCTGAAGATGCTTCTCCATGCTTTTATCACTATGTAGCACACACTGGTGACAGTATTAATTTTGTTTAGAGCATGCAGAGGGGCTTTTCAACTGAGTTTGACAACAGATTTAATTAACACTTATTAGGTGGTTTGTTTTTTTTAACTTCTAAATGTTTATCTGTCCAGCTGACAGGACATGCATGCAGCCCAGGGCAGCGCTGTGTTTTCGAACACAAGCAGGAAGAAACAAAGTATTAATGTTGACAGTTTGAAAAAAAAATTAAAAAAAAAAAGAAAAAAATTCCTTCCAAACTTTCTCATGCCCTGATGTGAAGGGGTTGAATGTGCATGTTGCCTTCCAGGAGGACTGGTGTCATTTCCTCAAGTGGGTGAAAGACCAGAATATTTTAACCCGTGTCATACTGTACCGTGGAACAGCTTACAAAACCTCTGTTCTGAAAGGAGGTTTACTCACTTTAGTCATTCAGTTTAATTTAAGAGGAGTCAATAAAAAGTCTGCTGCAAGAAATTCATCCCTGCCTTGCCCAGAAGCTATTCTGATTTACTTCCCCGATAAAATTACCATCATTATCCTCTGCTTTTAATCCATTCTGGTCCTTGTTCGAAGGCTTCAGATCCACCTTCTGTTTTAATCATATAGTGACCATGAAGCAGATCAGAGTTGCTTTTATTTCATTTTTGTCTCCTTATTTGCAGGGCCATATTATTTGAATGTCTCCCCCTTAAAATCTCTCATTAGGCAAAAGGCCTTACTCTTAGCGACTGACCATTATCTGAAGGCTCTGAGGTCTCATTTCTTTCATGGTAAAACCTTTCAGAGAAGTAGCCTGGACTGTTATAACAGCTGTGCTTGATGTTTATTTAGTGGCTGCTCTTCAGAGCACTCCTCTTTTTAATCTGTTTCTCAGCAAAAGGATGACCATGCAAAATACAAAAGTCACTGCAGTGGAACCTTGGTGTCATGGAAGGTGCTGCTCTAAAGCACCCTTGTTATATGAGGAGTAAAGATAGGCTGGAATTTCAACAACTTGAGGATTCATGAATCAGTTCAACACTTTAAGGTTTTCCCCTTTTTTTTTATTTTGTGTCTTGGAAAGTTACAATATAGTTGCTAATTCTGGGAAAATAGAAAAAGGTATTTAAATAAGGCCTGGAGGAGACTTATTTGCCAGAAGGATAAAGGTGAGTTTATATACTTTTGTGATTCACCCTAATTAAAAGGATGAATATTTCTTTTTCTGAAGCTAGCAGAAAAGTCCTGGCCTCTTAATGATGAAAGACTTTTTAAAAAAAGTTTCCCTTAAGCACACATAGCTGAATTTTCCACTTTAAACTTGGGTGGCTCATTCATATTTCACTTAATGGTAATATGGTATCCTCTCTCTCCCTTACCCTCCTTACCACCAAGGCTAAAAAAGGGGGAGGGGGGGGGAATGGAATATAAAATGTCTCTGAAAATTACAGGAAGTGTCTGTTCTTTAAGTAGCTTTGCCAGGGAATTTCCAAATGTGCTTAATGCTTATGGCTGAACTTGCAGCAGCCCAGTCTTCAGGTCATGAGTGGATCCTGTTCTTAAAATGTGACACCTCCTTCCAGTAAACTGTGTTGAAATTAGGTATATGCTTTGTGTCTCATCTGCTCTTCAGCAGAAATAACTGTGCCCGGTGGGGAAATGAGGGCTCTTGGGGGCTGCTTTAAACACTTGATTTACTTCCATTTATTAAAAGCGTGAAAACAGTATATAGTTTCCTGAGATGGTAGCTAGTTTATCTGTGAGGACTTCAGGGAGGTGTGGATGTTCTTTACAAGCTCTTTAGCCCGTCACCATATATGACTGGTTGGAGTTCTTTTCAAGGGCCTCCTGAAACAGCCTTCTGTTGCGTGAAGGTGAAGGCTGAGACAGCAAGCAATAAGCATTTTTAGAAGATAAGCGTACCCAAACTGAAAGTTGCAAATTAAAGATTAAGTGTTTTGAACAGCGTGTGTGTTTTTAGAGTTCTGTAGTTTCTCAGCTGCTTTATTTTCCTGTTATTGCTTGGACTTTAGGTCAGCAATTTATCCATCAAAACAAACTGTCTAGTTCATGAACAAACTGTCTAGCTTACAAAGGAGCTAGAGCCAATTACCACTAGAGCCAGTGGAAAAGCTTTCATTGAGTTCAGTGGGTTTGGTTGGCAACCTCTGATATGATTAAAAGAGAATCAAAACTTGTGACAGGACACGTTAAAGAGAAATTTTAAAAAACGCAGAGCACTGTTTTCCTTCTGAAGAAAGAATGGACACAACTGTCAAGTTTCCTTTTTTTTTTTCCCCCTTGCAAAGTGGCATAGTCTTTGGATACTTTCCTGAGGCCAGTATATGTGCTTCTTTTTGTCTGGACAAGCTTAAAGGCGCTGTTTCAATAGCACTGGAGTCAGAACAAATGGAAAATCATGTGTGGCCAACCTCACTGTCTGTTTATGTGAAACCTGGTGTTTTTCTCGTATTGGCATATGAAACTCATGAAATAGCTTTCACTTTCCTTTTTGGGCTTGTTAAAGTGGAGTTTGTACTTTTTTTTCAGAATTTAATTTGCTTGAGATTTATATGTAGATTTGTGTAATATATCTAATGAGTAAAGCATCTCCTGACCTGGGATTCCCCATTGCTGAGCACAACTGATCTGTTGGTGTAACAGGACTTTTAATGATCCATCTGTAAATCAGTTTGAATTAATAACTTCTCTTGCAATTAAGGTTGTGTCCTGATGTAGCATCTTGTTCTTCTGGTTTCTCTTCAAAAGTGTTCTTAAGAGAGTTTGGTCATTCCTGTTGTACAGTTTCAGTTCCCCAACTTGCAGTGCTGGTTTGTAAAATACTTTCCAAGGCATTAAACTTTAAAAATGTTTAATGTTTAAAATGTTTAAGTAACTGATTTTACAACTTCTTACCAAGTGGTGAAGTGCTGAAATGCATTTAAACAGTTCTGCTGTTGAAAGGAATACCATGATTTAGGGCAGCATCTCTTAATTATGCTCTAACAGTCTCGTGAAGAAGCAGAGCTAGTGGCAACAAAAGTCAGCAATTAAGGCAGGGTATGTTGCCTGAAATACAAGATAATTGTCCAGGCAAGATTCTTGGAATAGATTCAGAGACGAGTTGCCAGTTCTCTCTCTAGGTGTTTGGCATCCCTGGCAGAGAGGAGAAGTCCTCAGGAATGTATTTATTATATGGTATGGCCCACTGTACAGTTAACCTCAGAGCTGAATCTTTGGGTTTTTTCCATCTTCCCCTTCTTACAGGCTCTTGGTCTGCTGCAGAGCTGATGGGTGGGAGCAAAGGTGAAGAATGATGTGCTGCAGCAGCAGACAGAAAGCATCTTTTGTGTGAACTGTGAACTGGCTTCTCCTCAGTCATGTCCTGATGAATCAGACGTGAGGGGCTGCTTAGTGGAATCAGCTGGAAGCAGGAGAAGACGTTCAGCTGAAGAGCTCCCTCCGAAAATGGATTTAACTTTTCTTTCGCCAGTCACCGCCAGCGTGACCTCATGCATTTCTAGCACAATGGTGTGGCTGAGCCTTTGAGTACACAGCTCTTACATCATCGCGGCAAATCGGGGAGGGAGGTGCTGAAAGAGGCCTTGTTGTTGTCATGGCCGATGAGATGATCAGGACTCGACTCGTTGTGGCTGAGAAGCTGGTGGCTTTGCTGGAGAGCGGTACGGAAAAGCTGCTGCTGATTGACAGCCGCCCCTTTGTGGAATACAACACGTCCCACATCCTGGACGCCATCAACATCAACTGCTCCAAGCTGATGAAGCGGAGGCTGCAGCAGGACAAGGTTTTGATCACAGAGCTCATTCAGCACTCAGCAAAACACAAGGTAGGAGTCGTTTTCCTCTTATTCCTTGAATTTGTTTAAAGGAGTGGCTGGAAAGCAGCTTGTAATAATTTTTCCTTAGGTATTTCATTAAAAAAAAAAAAAACACAGAACCCACAAAACAAACCAGCCAATCCACAAAAAACCCACAAAACTCCCAAAAACGAACAAGACTAAGGAACTGAGTTCAGGTGAGACCCTTCGTAACCAAAGAGGGCATTGGTTGCTATTACACTTATTGTTGGGATTCTTTGTAGCCTGCTCTTCCCTAAGTGACCCAGGGCTTTAGGAATTACTCAGAAAGAATGTTCTCAGGGTTCTTACATGTCTTGTAAAGCACAGTCCCTCAAATTAATGTCATTTAAGCAATAAAGATTCTCCTCCTAAACTTCGAAGGATTCTTTGGGGTCTGGGGTGGTGGGGATTGCTTAGCAAGCAGTCACAGGGTTTGCAAAGAAACTGCACCTCTGTCAATCCTGGCTCCTACTCGCTGTTAAAAATGCTTTTCATGGGAGTAGTTTGATGGGTTTAGTGGTTTGATTTGGTTTTTTTGTTTATTTGTTTTGGGGGAGGAGGGATGTGTTTTTTTCCAAATAGTGTTATCAGTGAAAAGAAAATAGCTAAGCTGTTTCAAATTAATGCATGGGGGAGATTTGTTTGGGTTTTTTTTCTTATCCATTGGTATTTGTTTCATGTGCTTTGGATACAAAAATAATCGGCTAGGTTCTTGCTTTGACATGTTAAACATGAAGATGATGATGATGATGATCTTTGTTTTGTTTTTTTTTTTAATACATAAAGTTGTACAGGTAACCAAAATGTGTGTGGCTTAGAGGCAGTTTAAGGTCTCTTTACGGTTTATGTACAAAACCTCCAGAAGCAGAAACTGAGGCCTTCTTCTAAAAGGCTTAGCTTTTAAACAAATCAACCAAGATAGAGCCTTTCACAAGTGACATAAAATTAGCTAATGATAGAAATGTGTGGAGTGTGCTTCAACCTGCAGCAAATAATCAATTTACAAACTGGTTCGTGTACAGCTGCATAAGAAATCTCTGTATCTGAACTACTGTTTAGCAAATACATAGGAACCCTGCTGGAGCTGATAATGTGCTGCTTTTAATCATCTTCCTCCCTTTTTACTCCGTGTTTCAGATTGAAATTGACAGCAAGCAGGAAGTGGTGGTGTACGACCAAAGCTCTAAAGATGTGACCTCCCTCTCGCCCGACTGCTTTCTCACCGTGCTCCTGGGCAAACTGGAAAAGAATTTCAGCTCTGTGTATCTGCTTTCAGGTAAGATGGACCAAAAGAGATCCCTTTCAGGTCAGACGTACCAAAAGAGACCTCTGAAACACTTGTATAAGGAGGAGAAAGAGAAAGCTGTGGGTGTAGCAGATGTGTACAGTTTTGTAAGTGCTGATATAAACCTCAGTTACAGCAGAGATTTTTCTGTAGTTTTTTAGGTCTGTAGTGACATTCATAATGCATATAGTGCTTAGAAATTGCATCTTACAGGGGATTTATTACACAATAAGTATATGTAAGTGTAAATGGATCATTGCAGGAGTTTTTAGATGCGTTTGTCTGCTACGTCAGGGTCAGAAAATAGGAAAAGAAATGTGCTTCCCTGTTTTTTTTAATTATTGTACATGGTGGGAAGAAAACCTCTTCCTTACTGAGTTGGTCCTACAATAAGAACAAGGGAAATGATCTCCCAGAGTTATGGAGATGGGTTTGTGTGACTTTTTAAACCTCAGCTCCTGAAGTGGTAGAGTGGTAGCACTTTATTTCGGTCTTCTCCCTCACTCTCCTTTTTTTTTTTTTTTTTTTTTTTTTTTTTTTTTTTTTTTTTTTTTTTTTTTTTTTTTTTTTTTTTTTTTTTTTTTTTTTTTTTTTTTTTTTTTTTTTTTTTTTTTTTTTTTTTTTTTTTTTTTTTTTTTTTTTTATCCCAGGTCAAAGCATCTCTAGAAATTCAGCTCCTTATCACACCAGATTTGTATTATTGTGTTATTACTGAATAATTATGAGAGAGAGGGAAATAACTGCAGGGAGATGCTTCCTCTTAGCAAGGCGGTTTGTAGTCATCACTTCAGATGAAAGTGAGAGGGGAGAGCTTGTGCTACTGCGAGAACTTTTCCCAGTTTGTTGTTTTTTTTTTTTTAAAGTGATTACAGAGAAAATGAATAATTTCTGCACGTGGACAGGTGTGTTTGGGACTCGTGTGGGGCTGTACTTACAGTAAACTAAGGAGGGTTTGGCACTGGCTAGGTTTGGTGCTTCTGTCTTATTTACTGCCTAGGTAAGAATTACATCTGTGGGTGGTGGACTACAGCATTGAATTAAATAACTCTTCTTTCATATGAACCACCAAATAATTGTGTGGTGTCTAGGCACAGTAAATGAGTGATGCAAGAGTGCTGAATCAAGTGGTTAATACTCCCTTAAACTGAAAACTGTTATTTAAAAAATAAACCCAGCCTAGATGCAGTTCATCTCTTAAGAAATCCTTTTATTGTTTGAATACACAACTCTGCCCATTTGCCCTGAGGGTTTTCTTTTAATAACCAGAAGCAGATTACAGCTCCATGCTGCAATCAGACTATTCACAACTTCATTTCCACGATGGAAAGAGAAACAGCTGTCTTAGAACTGAGAATGAGACCTCGTGGCAGGGAGGAGTTGGAAGGCATCCTTAACAAGGCCGAGCAGAGTATCATGAAGCTTCCCTTGCTTATATTGCCCCTCCCTTGCTATTAAAAATCTTGCTACCTAATACATGAAATACAAGAAACCTTTCAGGATGTGGGGTGAAGGAGAAGGAGCTCGATCCAGTCTTATGGAAAGTTCCTTTGTTTATTGATCTGTGGCTCTAGGAAACGAGATAAAATATGTTGTCTCAGCAAGCTGATGATGAACTCACATAAATGTTTATGGCCCATAATGGGAGTAGAGGTCAGTGCACCACGTAAAAAGAAAAACCTTTGGACTTGAGTTTTCCCTATGCCACTAAATCTGCTCTATTTAAAATGGTGACCTTAAATAAACATTTTGGGTAGGAAAATATTTTTTTGTTGGGATAGAATAAGGAGCAATTCCTGAAATTCCTGCATCTGTTCTTCTTGCCACCCCCCATTACTGAGCAGTCGGTGTTTTTTATTTAGATTGTGCATAAAGGTATGTTCTACCCTGGAGATCGTTTCTCATCGAAGTAAGTGTCGTAGAGACCTCAAAGCAACCCTTACCAATTAGTTTGAGCTGTTGGTATAACCTCATAAAAATATTTATAATCTGGTGAGGAGTGTTTTGAGGAATTCAAATACCTGTTTGGTTCTTAATTTTAACAGTATGCAAAATACTGAAATGTGGATCCTGAAGGCTCAATCCCACTCCCATCGTGGCATCTACTCATCTGAGTTAAATAAGATATAAACACAGGGATGTCACTTGATTCCTTCTCTTTCCATGTGTTAAGAATTGGATTTACTTGCTTCTAAAATTGCCTTTACAGCTTTACACCCCTCCTCTCCAGTGCCTGTACACTGAGGTGTGGGTTTGTATGTCACTGTTCTATTGGAGCCATGCCTCTCATTAAATAGGATCCACCTGATCCAGGTGGAATCAGGGCTGTGTATACTTAAATCTCTCTGTAGAAAACCTGCTTCGTGGTTGGAGGTGGAGCTACCTTGAAAAGGGGTCCATGAAATTCTGCATTATCTGAATAATTCACAGAATTACCAGTAGAGAATTATTACTTTTCTCTTCAGTGACAAACGATGGTGACATAGGCAGTGGACAGTCAGTGATGCCCTAAGCAGAATGAGTATGTAAAGAAAGAGCAAACAGAATGAGTTCAGTGAGGTTGGACACAGATCCTGGAAACAAAATAGTGAGTTATTACCAGGGGACTAAACTTCCCAAAGAATTGTTTCATCCTTACCTGTCCCTTGCCTAACAGAAAGTGTGCACAAAATACAAGACTTGCATGAAGGATATGAGGAGATGGAAGCAAGTCAGGAAATCTCTTGCAGTCATCTTTATCCTGGCTTTTTTTTCTTTTTTTTCAGAAATATTTGAAATTAGAAGCCCATTTAAAGAAATTTGAGTATAAAAACGCTCGTATCTCCAGGGTACATTTACCATTGTGCTGCCTCTACTTCCCTAAAGGAAAGCTGAATAATAATCCGAGTGCTCTCTCCCTGCTTTGTCCCCAGAAAAAAAAAACATTCCTTGTTGCAGAGGAGCAGGAAATCTTAAGAATATTCTCTTGTAGGTAGAGCTGATCATTTCTGTGTCCTGCAGTGACCAGGGCTGCAAGACTGAGCTTCATTCCCAGCTATATGTCAGTCTTTCCCAAGGAGAAGAGCACACCTTCAAATGGTGGTCACCCATTAAAATAACGAGGTTATCTGTAAATTGAAATAAGTACAGCAAGAACGAGGTGCTGAATATCCTGCCAGTGTTTAGAGGAGGAGAGGCAGCTGCACAGTGATGCCAGCCCTCCTGAAATTCTGACTGGCTGATCCCATCAGAACAAACCTCTGTTGAAAGAGGTAACAGTCCTGCTGGAGGAATGCAGTATTCCCCAGGTGCTCCCATAACCGATGGAATACAGCCATTGCTGGTGGGGAAGAGTGAGAGAGGAGATGATTAGCTCTGAATCACCCTCTTCAAAAGTCTCCCTCTTAATCAGTTTTTAATGAGAGCATGGAAAAACGAGTACCCTTGGCTACAGCCAGTCCTTTGGGAACATCCTCCCACCCTGTGTACTTAAAACGCAGTTTTCAGTGTCCATTTACTGCCATGGTTGTTTTAAGCACTTGAAGAATGGTTTATTACTTTCATATGTGTATCCACTTGCTGTCTTTTGACAGAGAGAGCAAGGTCTGAGTGGAGCAGAGCTCTCATAACATTTCTCGAGCCCAAGAATAACTTGTTAAGTTTGCTTTTGTTTTGGATACCTCTGGACGCTTTGTGAAACTTAATTGACTGCAATTACGGCGCGGGGTTCTTTTGTTTTCCTTTCTTTAAAGGCAGAAAGGGCAAAGTGTGGGTGTCCAATATGCTCTTTTTCCTTGCTGTGCCACTTGGGTGGGAGGGGTTGATTGACCCCCATTCTCACCCATTCCTCCTCCCCCACCTTATTTGCTTAACCTGCCTGTTAACCTGGTCCTACCAACCCTCCAAGGCAAAGAGCTTCCCTTGCCACTGGGCTTGTGAAACACCTGGCATGACAGGGCCACTTTCTGAACTTGTCACCAGCGTGAAAACACCGCTGGCTTTCCCAAACCGTGGAACCTGTGGGATCCCCCATGGCTGAGGAGCAGGGACGGGAATGGGATGATGGGATGGCAGCCCTTCCCAACCGGGCTCTCCAGCCTGAGCTTATGGAATGGAAAATGGCACCGGTCCCTGCAGGGCTGAGCTGGAATGCAGGAATTGGAATGGCCTGTTTAAACGGAGTGGAAACATTGCAGATTCATAGAACTTGTGAGTCAGAAAGTTTACAACTTTTCTTTTCTTACGGCCAGGAAAAAAAAAAAAACAAACCTGTATTGCAGCTTTTAGATAAACAGTTTAATGTTTGATGGGAATGTGACTGGGGAAGTGCTGTTAAGTCACAGCATTAAGATCCTCTGAGGCAAAGTAAATGTAAAAGTTAGGGGCTCGTGTATTTTGTCTTTTTGCTATAGTGCTGTTTAATTTTTTAATTATTTAATTTTTATTATTTAATTTTTATTGTTTAATTTTTTTACCTGCACTGCTGACACTAAGCAGTATTTACAGTAACAAATTCTAAATCGCTATTAGGAGAAAAAAAAAAAAAAAAAAACCAAACCAAAAAAGCTAAACGTGAGTTAATCCACTGCATACCTTTGGTGAATGCAGACGCTGGGTGAGGCTTTGGGTTTAGGATTTAAAATTATGAAGTCCTAAATATTATATTTTAGAGGTTGTTGCAAAATTTCCTGCTTTTTTATCGTTCTTTTCCCTTAGAGAGTTAAATGGCAAAAAAAGAGCAACATTCCTTTAAAAAGGGATAGCAATATAATATTTATAAGTATGTGGCTATATAAAATTATGAATAATTATTGCCCTTAATGAAGAAGCAAATTCTGGATTTAACAAAGGTGGAATGTTAAATCCTCAAGCTTCAATGTCTCTCCTTCTTGTAACGCTGTACATGCATGTAGTCTTTGTTTCTCTGACCTGTCACTTGGGTCTTACATCTTCTCCACTCCCTGCTTTAAAGTGATTGTGCTTGATGCTGAATAACACTGATGTACTGTCAGACATTTAGGTCTTGTGGAAAAAGGAAGGAAGTGGCTTCCAGTATGTTTTCAAGAATTCATTGAAGGGATGTGGACACCTGTCTCTCACCTTTCTTGAATTCCAAGTTAGGTTTCATGACTGTGCTTAAAAAGGAACAGCATGAAATCCTCACAGAGCAAACGCAGTGTAAGCTTGTTTTTAACTGTTAGAATTTGTATATGCGTGGAGCTTTCATCTTTGTAGGGGTTGTTTCCATACTTGGACAGTTACAGAATTAAGCTCCTGGTTCAGATCTCTGGAAACAGGTGAGGATAAAAAGGAATTACAGAATTGGCTGTTTCAACAGTAATTTCATGAGCAGCTATAAAGAGAGAAACCCTCCTGATTGTTTGTTGTGTTTTTTTTCCCCTGTATGTTAGAAACACGTGTAAATTGAGACGCAGGATGGATGTGTGAGGGAACATCTGTGCTGGAGGTTTTAATGTGCTCAAGGACAGATGAAATTTTGCTGGACCAGCTATGATATCCCAAAGTCAAAGCTGCATAACCTGGGACTATGAGGAAGGGGATGAGATGTGAATAAAGAACCATGAACAGTGAAGAACATTTGGAAAACTGATTTTTTTAGTAATTGGTGTTTCTGCTTGACTTTTTTTGCTCTTCCCCAAAGAGCCAAATCAGTAATTAATATGTTTCCTGCCAATTTGCCTTGTCTAATTTTGGTCACATCTCTAAGTGGTTTGACATCCCGTTGAAGGACAACTTTTACTGGGGAATTTTGCTGAAACTTTTTCATCCCTTCTGGGTTTGGCCCTGTTTTGTTACTTAGAAACTGGCTCCAGAAGTCAAGTGTATTTTCTACAATTAAAACAAACTGCACGGGGCTGCCAATGGCCCTATTCCAACTGAGGTAGGTAAGGAGATTTAAAGAAAAAAATTTGCCTTGTTGCAAATGTTATTCTCAAATCATGGAATTTGAAACAAAACCCATCACATCTTTTTTTTTTTTTTTTTTTTTTTAAGGCTCAACTTTCTGTTCTGCATTCCCACCTGTAGACTAAATTAATTTTCCAAGTGTTTAACGTTTATTTTGAAGAGACTGGTAGTTTAGCAGGATGCATATACAAGTGTGTTTTGTCGGTTTGTTTGCTTGTGGTTTTTTAAAGCAATCGTTCCACATACTCTGACCTGGAGTGTATTTTTCCTATTGGGAGTGCTGTAAATCAAAGCCAGATACAATAGGTTAAGGTATATTCAAAGGAAAGGAGGGTTCACTTGTGAGCACAGTAAAGATAGGTAATAATGCCAAACTTAATGGATTTGAGGGCTTTGTGATTATAATAAAATAATTAAAAATAATTGCTTATGCAGCTTCTTTGTAAGGACTTCTCTTTCCAGCTGTGGGGGTGAGAGGATCCAGAAAGCAGCCAACAATGTTCCCAAGAAATAAAGAATAAGCAAATGAAACCAAAGGCCGATACTTGACTTCCCCTTCTTCCCCACCCTCTCAAAGAACTGCTTAAATTTCATCTGAGAGGCATTTACTGCCTATAAATTCAAAGAATGCTCCCTATAACGGAGGGGAAAACATTGTGCTGTGAAGAGGAAAATGTAGAAAGTATGTGAGAGAATTATTTTGCAAACTCTCCCTGTCATTCAGTGAACGAGCAGGATCTGTGCTGCCTGAAAGGGAAGTTGTCAAGCAAGGAGGAGGAATCCCAGGTAATAGAATAGAAAAGAAAATGTCAGAGCCCAACCTTTGCTGTGTCCCTGGCTTTGGTCCTTTAGTTTAGAGCTGTGGCTCTGGGATGGGCAGTGCCTTAGCTTGTCTAACAAAATAGACAAGATATTTATTCGTTTGTTTGTTTATTTGACTGAGCAGGAGTCGGTGTTCATCAATTGTTTGCTCTAAAATCTGATTGCTGGCTTTTTTTTGTTTATTAGATAAAATGGGCACACACTTGACTATGACCTTGGTGTTTCTGTTTTCACTAATGATACAGACTACTAAATCTAAAGAACGTAACATTTGGCAGATTCATTCATTAATACTTCCAGTTCCTGGATGACAAAAAGGTGCCTCATTCTGAACAGCTTATAATGACCCTTCAGTTAAAGCTCTGCTCATCTCTAATGTGTGGAAGTAGCTGGGGTTTCTCACTGTGGTTTGCAGCTTTCACCCTCACTGGCTGAGTGTTAAATGGTGAAAACAGCCAAAGGAACCTGCAGCCCACTGATTTAAACAGCTGCCTTAGGTTCTTCCTCATCCTAGTTTATGAAGGTGAGGGATGAGAATGGGCTGAGCCTGAGGGTTAGTGAGGCTTGGTAAAAGCTTTTGTGAAAATGTGTCCAAGTGCAAGTTCTTTGCTGAAGGTTTCATTGGGGGTTTTTTCTAACTGTGGGTAAGGCCAGTTTGATTACAGTAGATAGCACAGATGCGTGATGCAGCCCTGGTGAATGGGATGCAAGCCAGGAAATAGCCAAGCAAGAAAAAGAAATGGAGTCCAGAACAGACTCCAACCTCATGTTTTATTCCCTTCATGCTTCACTTCTGCTGTGCCCTGCTGATGGGGAAACAGCCAAGGAGCCTTTTTGGTGGCCACGGAGATTTTAGGTGGATTCAAATGTGTTATCAGTCATTCCACTCTGGTTTTTTGTGGTGGGAAACGGTAATGAAAATATTTGGAGCCATATTACGAGCAGGGCCTATCAACTGGTGGGGATAAAGCACCAGCAAGCATTAAAGGGAGCAGAGACTTCAGGTGGTCTGCCAGGGGAGTTGATGGCTTGGTGAAGTCCCCCCCTGTACCCCCTCTCTGCATCCCCCACTTGAGGTGGAGAAACTCTGGCTTGGTGTGGCTTTGAAGGCTGGAACTTCGTGCAGTGTGCTGAAGGAAGTATGTTCATTATGGAGAGGCACACAAAAAGTAGTGGTGTAGGATTGGAAAAGCAAACATTAATAAATGCATATTGACGCTTTCACCAAATTGAGTAAACGTTACTTTTTCATAATGAACTCTCGGTATAAATCTAAAACAAAAGGAGGGAGTGCTCAGAAAGCAGCTTGCTGGGGTGCAGACAAAAAGGTGGGCATGCTTTTGGTACGGTGGGTGCCGTGGCTGTTATTCTAAAGTCTCATTTCCAGATTATTAAGAACGGGAAGAGCATCAAAAACTTCTGGTATGGACACCGATGCCTACCCCAGCACATGTAAACTGAATACATGCCCTTCTTCTCCCAGGTGGATTTGCTGAGTTCTCCAGCTCTTTTCCTGGTCTCTGTGAAGGAAAATCCACGCTCATCCCTACGTGCATTTCTCAGCCTTGCCTCCCTGTTTCCAACACTGGCCCGACCAGGATCCTGCCTCATCTCTACCTTGGGTGTCAGCGGGACGTCCTCAACAAGGTGAGTGTTGTGGGTGTCCTGGGGCTCACTTGGATGAGGATGTGAGTGCCCTGGATCTGTGTCCATGCTTCTGTCATGCTTCATGGTGACAGCTGTGGCACCGCTAAAGCTGCTGCAAACAAATCTCTGTGCATCAGCTGAAATGTTCAGACCTGGACAGTCAGTGGGGTTGTCTAAAATGAGCTTTTATGGCAGCACTGCACTAAGAAACTTCTACTGTTTCTAAGTACAGGTGTATTTAGTAATTTCTGCTCCTAAAAAGTAGCACAGAATATTTTTATATATTTAAAACAGTCAGCAAAGTCATCAAATATATCACTGGTAAGATGCTGGGCTATCATCCAGATGTTTAAAAGAGCTTGTCTCAAATTGCTGTATGTCTCTATTCCTATGTATATCCACAGATGTTTGCTTCCAGGAGGAGATAACTCATATTGCTTCCAGTCTGAACTTATTTTTAGGCTATTTTTAGTTACTCTAAGGGCATTTTTGAAACCCAAGTAATCATATAGAGGGTAATTGTGCTTTTTTGTATCTTTTTCCTCTTGCTTTGACCAAACTGGGGAATTGCTTTGTTCTGGGCAGTGTTCACTGCACTGTTCATGGCTGCCTCTGGAAAATGCAAAATGGCTTCCACCTTTAACGTTTTCTATTCAAGCCCAGATTAAAAAAAAAAAAACACAAAAAAAACCCAAACCAAATTGCTGAAAAATTCTAGGAAGATTTCCAAATATTAAGATGTAATGACCTTATTTTTGCCTTCAGATGCTATCTGTGAATTCTCATGATTCCTTCTATTCACCAGGCATACTGATTTCTCTATAATTAAATTGTCTCAAAAATATCTGCATTACTAATTTGACCTGATGATTTAAAGATTTTGATACTTTTATCAAGATGAGCCTACCCTTTTAGGATCTTTATAAGCTTATCTCTGAGTGAATGGCTAGGGAAATGCTCCTCGTGTTGCAGGACTGTTTCAGTATTGGGTCTCAGTGTGATCCATTGTGGTTATCTCTGTGGCATTGCAAGAGGGGACTGATGGTCATTGCTCTTTGTGAAAGAGAGGGAGACTCAATTCTAACCTAGATGGCAGTGATAGTGTCCTTTCTAAAAGTCAGTATAACAGAGAAAAAAAAAATCTGTGTTGTGGTTATGGGCCTGAACAAGCCTCCTACTTACATCTCAAGGTTTGTACCAGCATTTAAACTGTGAAACTCTCTGCTTTCCTGCTTACATAACTATTCTCTTTCTTTTCTTCCAGACCTGGATTTTATTTCCTGGAACAAAATAACATTTTAGGGCGCTATTAATTTTCAGATTAAACAAGTCATAAAACGTAAATAGGCTTACAAAAGAGCATTTACCTTCTTTTCACGAAGTTGTTAGTATTAGGATTTCTGGATCTTCCTCCCATCATAATTCACTTCTTCCTCTTGGGTGCCTTACAAAGAAGGCACTGTTGTGGTTGTTACACGGGAGCAGGTTGCACAGGGAATGATTGATACTTTGGAACAGAAGGAGGCATAACTCCTTTCTTTAGCCTTAGTCCCAAAGACAAGCACTAATATTTTGGGGTGGTTTTTTTGGCTTGCAGATCTCAGACTTGGCATCTGCAGGCTTTCTGTTCCCATTTCAATAATCAATTCCACATCAAAAAACCTTGGATAACTGTGGAATTGGGATGGCTTGAGTGTGCAGCTCACCAGTGTTTGTTTTAAAAGAAATTATAAGGTTTTCCATTCTTCTAAATTTAGCTCGGGAGAGGTGCAGGAAGGGAGAGGGGCTGATCAGTGACACACTGGAATTGTCACATTCCCTTAGAAAAAAGAAAGCCCCAGACTTGAGAGGAGACTGCAAGAGGCATCCACTTCGTTTCATATTTTTCACCAATATCTGTGACAGGGCAACCTCAGATATGTGATCTGGCGAACACAGCACGTGGGAAGTGTTTGTTGTCAGCTTGCACAGGGAGAACTTTTAAACCACAATAGCAAAAAATTCAATTCTCTTGCAAGTGATGCTTCAAAGTAGCAGGAGGTATTCTACTATTATTCCTTTGTTTTTATGGGATTTGCAGTCCAAATGTTATTTGCACCCACTGGATGTCTCGTTAAAAGTTGTTAAAAGAATTAAAAGCTGAGGAGTTTCACCTTTTTCTCAGAAGAATGTCCCTTACACAGCTAAAAGAATTCCAGCACAAATTTCAGTTTGGTTTTTAGCTTTGTAACGTGCCGGAGGTACCTTTTGCCTTCTCTAGGCTTAATCTTTTCTCTCTCTCCTAGGAGCTGATGCAGCAGAACGACATTGGCTACGTCCTGAATGCCAGCAATACTTGTCCCAAGCCTGATTTTATTCCAGAATCCCATTTCCTCAGAGTGCCTGTGAACGACAGCTTTTGTGAGAAAATTTTACCTTGGTTGGACAAATCGGTCGATTTTATAGGTGAGAAGAAAATTCAAATTCTCTCTAAAATGGTTTTTTTGGTTCCTCTGTGTGTCTGCCTTGCTGTTATGGTTGGAGAAGCCCTGAGTGCTTTCTGGGTGGTATGAAAACACCCTCAGGATCTGTGTGCACGATCACCATCACCTCGTAAGCACAGAAGCAAAATAACGCAGCAAAGTAACATCCTGCCACTGCATGTTCCAGCATGAAAGAACAAAAACACTTAGGAGCACAGCTCTGCTTTCAGGCAGCCTGGTGGAGTCCCAGTGTATGTCTGCAGAGAGAGAATTAGAAATTTGGACATACAGCTCCTGTCTTGACCTGTGAGCAGTGAGCTAGCCAAATCTGAACTGGCCAGATTGTTCCATCGTGAATGCCTGCTTGTTACCTGGATATAAAATTAGAAACAATTACCTTTCCCAGACATGTAAATAGGGTGGTTTATGTGCACATTAAATTGAGGTATGCTGTAACTGCAGTATGTTTCCTCTGTGTTATGCTTTTTCTATACTCAGTGCTGAACAGCACTGGAGAAAATAAGTGATTTTTTTGTTCAAAACTTCCGTGAGATTTGCAATTAGCAGTTCATTTGGAAGTTTTGAATAATTTTAAACAACATATTGCTTTCTTTGCGAACTTTTCATCACAGTAAAATGCTGCTGGCTTTGACTCTTGCCAATTTCCTTGCTCTGTAGAAAAAGCAAAAGCATCAAATGGCCGTGTGTTAGTGCACTGTTTAGCTGGGATATCTCGCTCTGCCACCATCGCCATCGCCTACATCATGAAGAGAATGGACATGTCCCTGGATGAAGCTTACAGGTAAGAAGAAGTTTCCTTTTCAAACTAATTCTTTTCCCTGTTGGCTTATTTTACAGTGGCTGATGTTACAGGAGCAAGGGTAACAGCAGACATTTTTACCTGGTGGTTCCCTGTCCTCTGCACACTCCTGTTTTAAGCACAGACTTCCTCCAGAAAAAAAATTAATGGTGTTGAATAGACATCACACAGCTAATATTAGTTGCCCACCTGCAAAAAGGACTTTGCTCCAAGTAGAGGCAAATACATGGGATGTAAACTGCCTGTTGAATGGATGTGTATTGTCCTGGTTCTAGCCAGGAAAGGGTGGAAGCTTGAGCAAGCTGATATTCCAGGTGATCATGTCAGCCAGACTATTCCTTAGCATTGTTTGCTCTTTCACAAATTAAAAAAAAACACTAATAAAAAAAAAAAAAACCAAACACAGTTTAGTTTGACATTTTTCATGTGCTTGCCTGCATGTGCCAGTGTATACACACAGACACACCTTCCCTGTTTTCTCAGGCTGGGTTTAATGACTGCACACTCCTCTTCTGTAGCTTTCCCCAGAGAGATTATTTTTAAAATAATATTTAATTTTCCCAGTGACATTTATGTGTGCTTGTACTACATTTAGCTCCTCAAGGTTTCTTCCCTTGTTAATTCTTTTGTCCAGGAATGTTTCTTAAAAAAAAAAAAAACAAACCCAAAACCAGAGGAGAAGGGCTTTGGGCAGCTTTCTGCTTTGCAGCCTGCAAAAGCAGAGTACTTTAGCTGTGATAGAAATCAGACAGGTAGGAAGTGTGCTCTTGTATTTAACTTTGAAGTATGTGACATGGCTTCTATTACTGAGGTCTTTCATACATTTAGAATTCTGGTCCAGCCAAACATTTTCAGTATCACTGCACCTTCTCCATGCTCAGCTCAGTACGTGACTGTGTGCTTGGATGGGCACACCTGTGCCAGTTCCTACAGCACCCAAAAGCAGGTGAACTTCTCTAGGGGTTTGGCAGTCCTGTTGCCCTTTTACTGCTGAACATCTACAGGACCTGAGAGAATGTTCTTTGTTTTAAATGCTGCATTTGCACCTTTCTGTTTTTCTTTTTGATTATCAGTGCCGGTGTGGGGTAGGAATGGCTGGAACTTGCTGGGTAAGGTCAGAATCTATCGTGGCTCTTTGACTCTCCTGACAGTGATAAACAGGGTAGGAAGGGCTCACTGCAGTAACAACAGCATGAGAGGTGGAAGGAACATGTGATGTCATCCCTTGGAATGATGGGAAAGGGTCTCTTGGCTAAAGCTCAAATGTTGTTCGTGCAAAACTTGAGGAGCTCTTGACGAGGTCAGAAACCAAGGTAGCAAAGAAAGATCCCACTGATGAAGGAAATAAGGAAAAATGATGCACTCAAATCACTTGTGGACATCATGAAGAGTTAAAAAAATGCTTTCTTCCCCACCCACTTTTTAGCCACCTTTAAGTAAGCTATAGAGACAATTGACAGCCTCCAGCATTATTTTGCTTAAAACTGCCTTTTTTTAACTCCATCCTCAGGTTACCTGTGCTTGATTGAACCCCTAGTCCAAGTTAAGTTAAGAATAGGCTGTAGAGATTTGCAACATTCACTTTGGGGTCGTCCTAGGTCTGAGCAGCAGGATCTTTAAGTAATTCTTGGTTTGTTTGTCCCTTCCCACCAGATTCGTGAAAGAAAAGAGGCCGACTATTTCTCCCAACTTCAATTTCCTGGGCCAGCTTTTGGACTTTGAGAAGAAGATAAAAAACCAGAGCGGTCAGCCCGGACACATTAGCAAGTTGAAACTCCTGCACCTGGAGAAAAGCAGTGAGCACACGCAGGTCCCGGACGGGGGGCAGAGCAGCCTGTCCGTGAGCCAGCTCTGCATCGCTGCCGCCTCCGAGGTGGCAGAGCAGAAACCCACGGACTGTGGCAGCGCAGCTCGAGGGCACCTGTCCCCTCTGGAGGATGGCCCGCTGGTGCAGGGCATGAACGGGCTGCACGTCTCCCTGGATAAGGTGGAGGACAGCAACCGGCTGAAGCGCTCCTTCTCCTTGGATATCAAGTCCGTGTCCTACTCCTCGAGCGGCAGCCGCGTGACTGCCTCGGTTCAGGGCTTTGCCTCCGCCGAAGACACCCTGGAATATTACAAACATGCAGCCGCTTTGGAGGGCGGCAGCAAACTGTGCCAGTTCTCCCCTGTCCAGGAAGTGTCGGAGCAGACCCCAGAAACCAGCCCGGACAAAGAGGAAGCAAACCCTCCCCAAAAGCCCCCGAACACGTGGCAGCTGGACAGCCAGGGCAAGCGGCAACACCTGGGGAGAGGCGGCGGCGGTGCCGCCACGCAGCGCTCGCTCCTGTACCCCCTCCACCGCAGCGGCAGCGTGGAGGACAACCACCGAACGAACTTCTTGTTCGGCCTCTCCACCAGCCAGCAGCACCTGGCAAAGTCTGCCGCTGGGCTGGGCCTCAAGGGCTGGCACTCGGACATCCTGGCTCCTCAGACGTCGGCCGCGTCCCTTACCAACAGCTGGTACTTCGCGGCCGAGTCCTCCCATTTCTACTCGGCCTCGGCCATCTACGGGCAGGGCGGGGCGTGCTCGGCCTGCAGCTGCAGCCAGCTGCCCTCGGGCTGCGAGCAGGCCTGCGCCGTGCGCAGGAGGGCAAAGCAGGGCGACCGCGGAGACTCCCGCAGGAGCTGGCACGAGGAGAGCTCCTTCGAGAAGCAGTTCAAGCGCAGGAGCTGCCAGATGGAGTTTGGGGAGAGCATCATGTCGGACAGCAGATCCAGGGAGGAACTGGGCAAAGTAGGCAGCCAGTCAAGTTTCTCAGGCAGCATGGAAATCATCGAAGTGTCCTGAGGGGAGGGCAGCAGGCTTGTGGTGTGTCTGTATCAGAGCTGCTTCCCTCTCCAGGCTGCTCCCCCGGCATTTGAGAGATCCCTGTAAATCTGAAATTGCGTGTAAAGAGGCGGGGGGAGGGAAGAACCTCGAGCCTTCAGTGTGAACACAGCAAAAGGTTAGTACTGCAAAGAGGTGATGAGCGAGCATCGTCTGCCTGAGGACACCAGGTATACAGCTGGGTTTTCCTCCTCTCCCTTCCTGAAGAAGGGCAGAGCACTTCAAAGGTCTTTAGAGGAAGCAATTGTATGCAATGGATTGCACAGAGTTTCAGTGGTTTTTTATAAAGGAAGCTCTCCTGGTATCAACCTTGCTCTGGTTCCACTGAAACGTGTTCCTTCCTGTCCAAACTAGTTTTGTTCTCCCCTCCTCATGCCCCGTATGTTCACCAGTGCACCTTAGCGCTGACACTGAGCCAACCTCTGGAGGGAGACCTTTTTTCCTGTAAGGAGACTGGGAGCAATTCCAAAGGACATAGGGACTGGTTACAGCAAGGCTTGTCTGAACACACCATTCAGACAAATGTAAATACTGGTGTAACTATTGTTCTGATGGATAGGCTTTAAGTGATTTGCTAGAGAGCTGCTTCAGAGAGAAAAAAAAAAAAAAACAGTACCTCAAAAATATAAAAAATAAACTAGGGCTTTATGGCTGCCACATGCTGGTAGTCAGTTCATAGCAATGTGAACAAGTAAGGACTAGCCACATTTGTGTTTTGTTTTGTTTTGTTTTTTTTTTAAAGCTGTCTACGCACAAGTGTTTCAATTGGCTCAGCAGCAATGCTTCAAAGGTGATGAATGAACCATACTGTTTCCCCCAGTCTTTTGAAACAGTGTTCACATTTTTTCTATTAAGCTGGCTTCTGGGAGAGGGGCAGTTGCTTTGGCTCCTAAGCTGGAATGGAGTGGTTGATAGGTAGGGTTACGTGCAAGAAAAGTGGCTGCTACGAGTGGCCACAACGTGCTTTTCTTGCCAGTGAATAATTCAGTAGGAGGCTCTTGAAGGCTTTTTTTTGGTTTGGGGGTTTTTAGGGCCTTTTTTTTTTTTTTGTGGTTTTTAAGATAAAAATGTGGTAGGCTTTTATCCTTAACTGAGCAGTACCACTGAGGAGCTGCTCTTGATGTATGGTCCCAGTCCTGTGTGGGGTGGGGGCAATGCAGGTGGGTTTTATTGCATTCCAACATGGATTGGGACTGGCTTTTCATTAGTTTTGCTGACTTCATCAGATAAAGGGAAGTCTGGCCAGCTACCCAAGGAAAACAGAAGGGGGCTTCCCTCCAGTGTCCCATCTCACAGTGCGGTGAGAAAGAAGCGGGCTTTGAGAAGAGACAGCTTGGTCATTTCCCAGCAGCCCTCAGAAAATGTGCATTGAGGGGAAACTGTGTTGTGTTGTCCCATTTCAGTGCAGGCAGCTGAAAACTGTACATCACATGTTAACAAATAATTAACCCAGGCCAACAGCTTTAAAAAAAAATGTGTCAGCAGCAACCTGAAGCCCTAATTCAAGTGAGCAGCTTGGGTTATGTTAGGGTTTTTTTTTTACTGTAAGTTTAGCTAGTTTGTGACTCAAATCTCAGGTTTTACTACATTGAAAAGCGGAGAAGATTTTGTCATTGTTTTGTTTTGTGGCTAGGATGTGACTTTAATTTCCTACAGTGGACTGTTGAAAATAGCACTGAAAGCTACAGCATTGATTAACTTGATCCTAAAAAGTGCAAAAGGCACAGAGAGACAGCACCAGGAGGCTCTGTTTGGGTCATGTGTAGATGTTGGAAGAGGAGGTAGCCCAGGCAAGGGACAGGTTGACATCACACATATCAGGTGTTCATTAAACATACTGGCACTTGTCTCTGTTTACATATCAGGTGAAAGCAATTACATCACAGCTATTTTCAGCATATATACAAACACACTCTGTGTGTGTATACCTATGTAAACAGTTTAACAGTGCTCCTCTCAGCCAGATTTCAGGAAAAGCCCACGTCTGTGGTTTAAATCACTTGGTGGGGGTTAACACATATCAATCCCTGAAGAGAGAAGCAGATTCTTCCTGGCTTTTGTGCTCCTTCAGACCTGTGTGTTCCCCCCTTCTCTATGTTTGGGTTTTGGGCCTTCTCGTGTTTGGGGTTTGTTTGCTTGACTGCCTTCTGAGGAACTGAAATCTGGTCTTGTGGCTCCTCGTGATTTCCAGCAGTCCCTGAACGAATCAAAGCTGTAGGCTCGGTATTTTTAGGGGATGAGTCCCCATAGGACGATGCCTTAACCCCATGTCCCGCACAGGGTGGTGCCCTGGCTCCTGTCTGAACTAGAGTCCTGTGCCTGAACAATACTGGAAATGGTTTGCAGGAGTCTGGAAAGCAGAGTGGAGGATGTGAGAGGGGAAAGGTGTCCATGTTCAGTACGGATATAATGTATGGCCGTTGGTGTATGGCACACTGGGCATATTTGTGTTATGGAGAGCTGTTCGAGTGGTTTGGAGAGATGGGAGGTTCTCATCTTGTTGTGTCGTGAGCATTACCTGTATGTATGACGAAATAAAATCAGAAATGGTACCTGTTTATAGAGGAGGGCTGAGGAAGGAGTTGTGGAGTGTGCATTCCCTGTGCCTGGTCATGACTTACGTGGCTGGAGCAGCTTTGCACCCCTTGTTGCAGGTAGCAGTGATTTTACAGCACCAGTTCCTGAATACCCCACCTCTTCTGCTCCCTTGGAGATCAGCCGTGGCCCTTCTCTGCCCTCAGACATTACAGTGTCTCATAGGGGTCTGAGGAACCTGCTCCTCTCAGTCTTGTTGAAGCAAGTATTTCAAATTCATTAAGTTACCTAGAATGATCCCCCTGCTTTTTTTCTTGCCTCCCATAATTCTTATTTGAAGATTAACATAATAACTTGTTTAAATACTTATTTTGACTGATTCTGTCACTCCTGAAGCATGCAGAGCAAGCTGCTTCAGAGAATAGCTCCTACAAATCACAGTGTTTGTGTAACAGCATCTTCACACTCGGGTGCAGCAGCAGAAGCTTTTTCTGTTCTTAAGAAGAGAATTTGAAAGCCTAATCCCAGAAAGGGAAATGCAGAATTCTTAGCCTCCCTAAAAGGAACCAAACCATCAGCCAGAGCACAAGTAACAACCTGTGTGAGTTTCTGTGCTTTTCTACAAACTAGCAACTCTTACACAGAAAGCTGCAGCCATTCCATGGCAAAACCAGAACCATGCTGATTAAAGGGCATGAGCTGCTTAGCCTACAAAACAGGTTGACATGACAATATAAGATTTTGCTGCTCCAGCTTCCCTTACCCCACTCCAGAGTCCACTTCCCATCACAGTAGCTCCAGCAGACAGCTCTGTGCAGAGCCAGTCTAGTGCCATCTCCAGCCAAAATCCAAGGGGCAACTGAAATGTGTCTCACGCATGTCATCAAGACTTAATTTTCATTTCGCTGACTGGCGTTGCTGGGAAGAGGTCTGCGAGGTCACCTGGCTCATAATGTAACTATCACAGTGACATTCCTCGAGTGAAGTGGACTGAAAACAGAGCAAACCTCCCCCCAGCAGTGTTCAGGTACCCTTACTTTTGAGGGGGCTGGGGAAGATAGAAAGGAGAAATGTGCTAGTTAGGTGAGCTGCTGTCTTTACTAACTATAGTCATCAGCTTGCTGCTTAATAAGTTTTGACTCACAGCCCAAGTTATAAACTGATTTCTACAAGGAAGTGGTGGTATGAAAAGCCAAAGGACAAGGACCTGGCAGTGCTCCTGGGGACATCACTGGGATCCTAATAACACTGTTACTGCCACTTTTTAAATCCAGAATTACTGAGATTCAACCAAAGTCACCTACCCAGACATTTCAATTAGCTGGCCACACACCTGGCTAGCCTGTATTTGTTTCATTTTCTGAGATAAAACAGCACAGATTAGCAGTTCACATAAAAAAATGTTCTGACCAAATCAAAATGCCCATTTATTCCTGGTTATGTTACTGTCCTGTTGCAGGCCACCATATTTCATCACCTTCACAGCGTCCCTACGAGGTCACTGCTCAGTCTCCACCTGTAAAAATACAGTAAAAAGACAAAAAGGTTTATTCCAGGCAGCTGACATTAGGAACTGCCCTTGGAGTGCTTTTCTCTCCTCTCTCGTGCCCAAGGATGACTTTTGAAGGCTGTAGGAATGCTGGAGCCCGTCCATCACCACCTCGGACCTGCCCTGGCTTTGGGGACCGCTGGGTGAGCAATTCTCCTTCCCAGAATGAGATCACAGAATACTGAGGTGGAAGGGACCCACAAGGATCAGCAAGCCCAACTCGTAAGTGAATGGCCCATCCAGGGATCAACCTCAGGAAACCACTGGCGCACAATCAGAGAGAGGGGATGGCCCACACAATGAAAACATGTATTTCTACTCCTTCTGTGTGAAAGCTTAGAGGAGGGAAAAAACACACTTTAAATATTTCAATATATTTAAATATATTTAATTTAAAATACATTTACTTAAAAAAAAAACCAAAAAAACAAAAAAAAACCCCAAAACTCTTTTCTGCCCCCTTCACCAGATCTTCACAGAAATTGCCCTGCAGATAGGTTGGCACTTCAGCACCCTTACAAAAACAGAAAGAACAAAGCGAACCTCTTCTGCACAGGTAGCACACGGGCCAGTGTGGGATGCAACAGACACCAGTGGCAGCACAAGGAGGGAGTAGCAACAGCAGTCAGGGGAAGGACCAGAGCAGTTCAGGCCAGCAGGGAACCACAGACTCAGAGGCTCACCCTCTTCCCCAGCTTTTCAGAAGATTGCATATCAGGAAGCTTAGCTCGTACCCCAAACCACACACCCCTTCAGAAAGCAGAAAAGGGTAGAAATGCCTGGTTGTCCTGTTCACATCACTACATCTGTGGTAGAAGTACCAGCTGGTACATTCGTGAAAGGTACCTGAGGCCTTCTCCAAGAGCATTTAGCTCGGAGAAGGAAATCCATAATCAGAAAGGTGATTTCAGTCACATCTCAATCTCCTGCTGAGCAGCGTGGGAGTGAAGTGACAGTCACTCTGAGCATCACCTGCACCTGAAAGCAGCGTGTAGAGCAAAGCCAACAAGGAGCAGCCAAGCAACAAACAGCTCGAGGAGATGTGGCAGGAGGTGTCCTCCCCCTAGCAAGAGGGCCAAAGACTCACAGTTAACGAAGGCCATGACAGTGTTTTAAATAAAACTGTGAACTGTTGCTTGAGAACAGTTAGAGGGTGCGTGCTGTCTTACAGCACCACGCAAGAGACTGTCCTGTGGAACAGGTGATGACATATGAGCTTTGGAAGAGGTTCCTTTCCCCTTTCAGCTCTGATTTCTTTCTAGTTAAGCTATTAGGCCTTTCACAGTCTGCCCTTGCTGCCTGGAAAGCTCTACCTCTGAGGCCCAGCAGCACAGCCAGTGTTCCCAGAACAAGCATTCTCTCCCATTCTCAGCCCAGTGCCCAGGTGTTTTCTAGCAAATGAGGAAGGAACAACAGCAATGCTTTGATCTGATACTTCATAGCAGGAGGCCAGATGTCTAGAAACCTTCCAGGAGAGAGCACCTTACAGGAGAGAACATCTCAAGAGCCCTGCCTTGAGATCCACTGTCAGGATCTTCCCACTAGCACAGGCTCCCGGCACACCAGCGTGTGGGATATTAATGATCCCATCTGGCAGACAGCTGAATGTTGCACATTTTAAACATCCAGACAGCATCGTTGGGACAATCAGGACAAAAATGGCTGCAGCTGCTATTTAAAGCAGGTCAGTATTCCCGTGTGTCTGATGGCAGAAGGCAGAGACAAGTTCCATGACGGACAATGACAACCCGCATGGGCGGGGCCATGACAGGCAGGTTCTCAGGGGTTAAGCCTCAGGTCAGCTTTTAACAAAGCAAGTGTAAAATATGGCAGGAAGCCTGAACAAGGAGGTTGTATCCCGTGCAACACACAGCATGTGCCTGTGTACATATCACTGTTCAAACCTCTGGGGTGGGAGCAGCAGGCACGGAGGCCCACTCTGATGCCTTGGCTAAAAAAAATCTCCTGCTGAGTTCCCGGCCCTCTCTGAAGCAGTCAATTGCTCTTCCCAGGGCATCATTCCAGGGGACTTCATTTCTACAGGACTCTGCTTTCAGACAGTGCTCAGCAGGCCCTGGGGTCCAACCACCACTGTGGTTCAGATGCACATCAGTTTGCTGCAGTCTGCATCACAGAAACTCACTTTACACTACATGGCCTTTGGAAATGCAGCAAGCCAACAGCCTTGTTGCTTCTTACCACCAAGCAATAATTAATATCATCGAAAACCTACTGCATTCTTATTTCCAAATGCTCACAGGAAACCTTCTGCTGATTAGAAACTCTTAAGTACCAAGATGTACCAAAGCAAGTTGCCTTTGGCAAATCACCTTGTGCCCTACTGGAGGCTGGTTTGACTCTCAAAGAGGGCTGTCCTCACCACGGGAACTGCACTCCTGACATAAACCCACCCTCGGGGTTCATGGGCACTTCAGCCTCCTCACCAGCGACAGCATCCTGGGCCCAACAAAACACACACAAACCTCTCCTTGCCCAGCAAATCAAGGGCTCCTCACTCCTGGTTACGTTCTCTTTCTGCTGCGACCAGAGCTGCCATGCCCTGGCGATGCAGGCTGCTAAACCCCATTTCTACATCTAGAAATACTTTTACAGCAGCGTGTGAAACATCCCTGGTTTACACAGGGAGAACCCAAAGCTCAGAGAGGTGCTGCACAGTGGCAGCTCAGAGGGGCGAAGACCCAAAGGACTTCTTGTGTCTCTCCACTCCACACACTTAGAGGGTAAAGAAGCAAGTGCTTCTACCTCTCTGGTAGAAAAGACAGCACCAAGGTAACTGGAGTGTCCCAGTCAAAAAAGACACCTTATGATGTCCAACTTTGGGATGCAAAGCGAGCAGGTTGGTACCAGTGCCTGGCAGAAGAACATGAAATGGCACCAGCTGGGGCATGGGGACATTTGCAGGGAAAGGAACACTAAAGCTTGCTTAACACTAACAGACATATCTAGAACAGCTATTCCTTTAGAGGCTCATAAATTAGCAAGCCCACAGAAACAGAAACCTCAAGGACATGCCAAAACCTTGCCATGCAAAACATGTTAATTATGATAACAGGCAGATTTCAATAAGCCAGTTCCTGGCTCTCACACTTTCACCTATAAAACACACACATTTCCAAGGCCAGGGGATGTCAGAAACACCTTGCAGCCATCTAATTGTCTAAACCCCAGTGGCACAAAAATCATATTAGAAGGTTCATCACACCCTGTATCCCTTTGAATTTTTTGTAGTAAAAAAACAAAAAGAAAGAAAATTCCTCCTCTGTAAACCCCAACTAAGTCACAGCAACGAAACAAATGTCTCTGCACAGGCGGTGGCAGCGGTAAAGGAGACAGGAGGGCAAGAGGAGGGAGACGAAAGAAACGTAAATCATCTTCTCCAGACGACAGGGCAGGGGAGCTCCTGGATTCCTGGCTGTGCAGTTCTGGCAGCCGATGCCCCGGCACAGTCAGGCAGTGCTTCCAACACCTGCCAGCGCGGCCTGTCGGGAGCAATCTGTGCCGGACTCTGGAGCACATGGGATGGAGAGGGGCAGCCTGCTGGGTCAGCTAAGCCTTCAGCTCGCGCTCAGGTTTCATGCTGAAGGGCTCCAGCCGCTCGCTCTCGGGCAGCATGCTGTTCAGCCGCTCCATCAGCGGCACCGTCTGGTCGATGCCCATCTGGATCCGGCGGAGGATGGCCGACATCTCGTTGACCTTCTGGATCTGCTCCGCGTACTTGGCGTACTTCTTCTGGCGCTCCTGCATGAAGCTGTAGAGGGTTTCCACAGAGAGGTCCATCTGTTTGAGAACAACAAGGAGAGCGAGGCACATTAGGCCAGCTCTCACCAGAGACCTTTCAGCACGCTGTCTTTCCTAAAAGCGACCAAGAACCGCCTTGGATGCCCCACTGGAGATACCAGAAAGGAACAGAAGAGCTCCTTGGAAGGTGCGCAACCAGTTCGTCACAAAACAGGATTCACAGTTGTACAACCTCAGCTCTACACCCAAATCCCTAAGTATGTGATCAGAAGATTCTTTATGTGCAGGACCTGAAAGCCATCAGGCACTGCCAGGGATTTCACAATAAACCAATATACATATCCTCCAAGTTACACAACTCGGGGAACTCATGGCCTCTGCCCACACCTGTGGTGTATTTTCATTGGAGACTGTTCATTTGTAAGCATTAAGCTCTACCATACTTGCCAGTGCTAACTTTCCTTGGTTTAGCCAGGTTACTCTGCGACTAAGCCACAGCTGTTACTACCACCATCATCTGGAAAATTCCTGCCTCGAGAACCACAATGGATTGCCACTGTCCCTAATTTTCCTGAAACCCCAAAATAAGGAGTGTTACGAGTGACCCCCGGAGAGACATTAAGTAAATCAGCCCTGCAATTAAACACAGTCAGTCCCCAAACACGGCTCAAGCATGATGACAATGACAGGAACTGCAGTGCTGTTCCTGCCATTGACTGATGAAGGCAGCCTTTATAACTCACAGTCCGATTTTCTCTTCAGCCAGACCTGCAAACCCCCCGCAGAATTCAACCAGCAGCTTCCGAGTGAGATGGTTTAAACTGTTTCACACACACCACACATTCAAAGAGTTCAGCTCTGCTCCAAGCCCTCAAGCTCACACTTGAAGCTCGATTGGCTCGCTGTAGCTGCACTCAACACCCCCAGTTCCTGCAGTGAGTGCACAGGCTCCTCAGCTCTTCCAGCTGTGTAGATGTTTTGTGGAAAGCAGCCCCTCCCCTGGGACTCAGCACATGCCCACGGGGGCTGCTGAGGGAGGGACAGAAACACACACACACACACACTGACCAGTTTTAGCCCACTCTCTTAGCACTGTTTTTCCACATCTCTCCCATCTCATCACTGCCAGAGGAAGGAGGTCACTGCTCCTGGTGTAGCAGCCTCAGCTTTCAGGCTGAATTCTTCCTCTCTGCCTCTGTGCTTTGCTGTGAATTCCTCCCTCCACACTTTCATGCACGGGATAAAATAAAACTGGCAGAGCAGGAAACTCCAAACAGAGTGGAAACAATTTAAGCCTACACAGGGGTTTCTGTTAAAACCCCAGCGAAATAATTGAGTGGCTTGGCACTAGCTCTGTAAACTGGAGTGTGTAAAAAGCAGACCACCACCAACCAGTAAGTTCAATCCAGTGCCTAAAAACATCCTACCTAATGAGCCAGGGGCCTGGAGTGGCAGCCAGTCGGAAACCTGCCAAAAGCCAGCACGCCTCATTAAACGGAGCAGTGTGGGGACCCAGGCACAAATCTCCTCTAGTTCTGAACTTCTCATCCACAGGCAGGTTCTCCACGTGGCCTCACAGCACTGCAGAAGAGGCAAAGCCTGCACATACCAAGCTTTCCAACAAAAAACGCCAAAGGCCCCCTTTTCTCTCTATTCCAATAATTTCCATTCGCTGACTTTTGGGCTCCTTGTGTAAATACCTGTAACGTCCACTTACGGGTGAGGAACGCAGGAAGAAGCTGAAGCTGACCTGCAACAGGAGAAAGAGATGTGGAGTGGCTTCCAAGCTCTCTGCTACCTTTGGACACGTTCACAATGGCCATTAAAAAAGCTGCCTCCCAAGAAAGCAGAGAGGGTGGAAGTGAGTGTTTCCTATGGTTTCCCTGTACCCAGCAGTCAGGTTTGCCTGCTGCAGGAGCCAGCGACACAACGGGGAGGACTGAAGTTCAGTAACTCTGAAGAAAGGTCAATTTTTACTCAGACTGAGTATTTTGAACTGTTAAAAAACAAAGCAACTCCATGTTAATTCCTGTAGATAAATGCCAGTGTCTCTTTGCAGCTTTCCTTGAAGCCTTGAGGCCTAAGTACACACTTACATCCTTCCTGCCTCCTCCCCGTCCAGGCAAGCTCCTCTAGTCCCAGCCCTTGTGCTTTTACCTTTCCTGGCATGCAGTCCCATTC